ATATTGAATCCAATTTTTATTCTATTGAGCCTAACTGCTGACGTAAAAAGAACAAAAGAAACAAAACTGCTGACGTAAGCCGTATGTAAAATTGTGACTGGACTTGCCAACATAAACGATCTAAAGGGAATGCCTTTGTATTTCTATTCTTATTGTATGGCACGTCACAAAATTGATCGATTACAAGTTACTCCTTCGTCACTACAATGATCGGTAATTAATGGACACTGTTATTTTAGACCAACTCCGTTTCAGGACATTTAAAAAGATTTATCGTGGTACAATAAAAATAGGTTGGTGGACTGTCACAATCACAAGCATAAATACAAATTGTACACTAAAAATTAATCAATACCCCCCCCCCCCCCCTTGAATCGAAGATCATACGAATTCTTGTTTTTTCATTTTTTCCTTTTTTTCACTCGACCACGAATAATATTTTATTTTATGAAAAGGTATCAGTATCACTTGGAAGGAATATGTACTGTTAATAGAAATATTAAATCAAAACGATAATTGTTGTCTTTAATTAATTTTCCAATTATTCGCATATTCTTTGGTTGATATAGAATTATACGCATATTCTCGTTTATATTCTTTGCCGTAACGTGTGTTCTTGTTTGTCTTGACAATTTTCTTCTCATGTTCGCTGCCTGTTTAAAAGTTACAAGTAACTAAAGTCTCATTGTAAATTATATAGCTGCGAGAAAATTGACACTTAAAAAAACAACCATTTACAGTAGCTAACACTACGACAAAATTCTATATAAATTTTATTATAAAAATCAAAATACAAACTAATTAGAAAGAACTACATAGCATGGACTAAAAAAAAAGTGAGAAAATAGTGAATTTATTGACACAAACCAATTTCAACAAAATTAATTAAAAAAAAATGTTGTCGTACGAATATCAACCTTGCCACAAATTATAAATTTCCAGCTTATGGGTGCTGGTAGTTGCATCAATTACTATCCTAATTAACAAATTTAGTAAAGATTTTATTTCCCTCCAACTTTTTTTTGGCATAGTTGACGTTATACCCATGACGACCTGCATACTTATGATTTGCTGTTTACGTCTTCGTCTAAAAACTCTTTCTTCTAATCTTCAATGATCACTACATATATAATTATAACCCCACGAATACTTTCTACTCACAACGTACGTCTAACACTCGAAAAAGAAAAGAAACAGAATGAGCGAGACGACGAAAGGCTCAGGATCGTATCCGATCAAAACCATCGTCGTTTTGGTTCAAGAAAATCGTTCTTTCGACCATGCCCTAGGCTGGTTTAAAGAACTAAACCGGGAAATCGACGGCGTCACGAAATCTGATCCCAAATCCAACACGGTTTCGTCCTCCGACCCAAAGTCTCTTCCTGTAGTCTTCGGGGACCAGTCTCAGTACGTTGACCCGGATCCAGGTCACTCCATTCAGGATATCTACGAACAAGTGTTTGGTAAGCCATGGGATTCAGGTAAACCGGATCCTAACCCGGGTCCAGCTACCATGTCCGGTTTTGCTCAAAACGCCGAGAGAAACAAGAAAGGGATGTCCTCTGCGGTTATGAACGGATTTAAACCGAACGCTTTGCCGGTTTACAAAGAGTTGGTTCAAAATTTCGCCATATGTGACAGGTAAGCGGGTTCGGTTCATCCTGACCTTAATTTAAATTTAGTTGTCCCGGTTCAGAGAAAATTTGGTTCTATCGGCAGGTGGTTTGCGTCGGTTCCAGCGTCGACGCAGCCAAATCGATTGTACGTACACTCAGCAACATCACATGGAGCAACGAGCAACGACAAGAAATTGCTAATCGAAGGGTTTCCACAGAAGACGATATTCGAGTCTCTCCATGAAGCTGGTTTTAGCTTTGGCATTTACTACCAATTCCCTCCTTCTACTCTCTTTTATAGGTATTTTTATTAACTATATATACGTTTTTCCTATTGAAATCTTTTATTCAGATATTAATTTAGTTATCTGTAGCTTTATAAGAATTGTATAAAATTTGTCTCTTTTTGGCCACTTCCGTCTAAAACCTCTATTCTATGGTTTAATTATGGGTGTTTAATCAAGGTTATTCTTTTGTTTTGGATATCTAATAAACAAAATCATTTAAATCAAACTGTAAGACACGTGTCAGTTTAATAAATCTTTTAATAAAAAGGATAAGCATAAAAAAGTATATATATAATTCTATTAATACTTTACTTTTGTAGGAATTTGAGAAAGCTGAAATATTTGACACATTTCCACCAATACGGTATACAATTCAAGAAAGATTGCAAAGAAGGGAAGCTACCGAACTACGTCGTGATCGAACAACGTTGGTTTGATCTATTGTCAATTCCGGCCAATGACGATCACCCCTCTCACGACGTTTCCGAAGGTCAAAAGCTCGTGAAAGAGGTCTACGAGGCATTGAGATCGAGTCCTCAATGGAACGAGATTTTATTCGTTATAACGTATGACGAGCATGGTGGATTTTACGACCATGTACCTACTCCGGTCGACGGAGTTCCTAATCCAGATGGTATTTTGGGACCTCCACCGTATAATTTTGAGTTTAACCGGCTCGGAGTTAGGGTTCCGACTTTCTTCATCTCTCCTTGGATTGAGCCTGGGACAGGTAAAAAATAATTACTAGTCATAGACATTAGTTTAGGTTAGTGGCCTTATATTTTAATCAAGATACTAATGTTTAAACCAAAGTGAATGACAATTTTGGTAAAATGTGTAGTTATTCATGGGCCAAATGGGCCGTTCCCGAGGTCACAGTATGAGCATTCGTCAATTCCCGCAACGGTCAAGAAAATTTTCAAACTCAAAGATTTCTTGACAAAGAGAGATTCATGGGCTGGTACTTTTGAATCTGTTATTGCGAGAGACTCACCAAGACAAGATTGCCCTGGTAATTACATTTTTTTCATCTTCTACTAAAATCTATCAATTTAGGTAGGATAATATCGACTAAACTTCAGTTTTTCTTTAAATAGAAACATTATCAATTCCGGTTAAACTAAGAGGGACATTGGCAAAAGAAAATGCACAATTAAGCGAATTTCAAGAAGAGCTCGTAATAATGGCTGCGGGATTAAAAGGAGACTACAAAAACGAAGAATTAATCCACAAGCTATGTAAAGAAACTTGTGTTGCAGATGCTTCCAAATATGTTACAAATGCGTTTGAGAAGTTTCTAGAAGAGTCAAGAAAGGCAAAAGATAGAGGATGTGATGAGAACGACATCATTTATTGCGTCGATGATGATCATCATCATCATGTTGTGATACCACCACAATCACATTCAGAAGCATCAAATGCTGCTCCTCAACCGAAAACGCAAACGTCTTTTTTCAATAAGTTATTCTCTTGCTTTGTTCGCCATGATTGAAAGAGTATACAAATTTATAAGAATAATTTGTAGTCACTTCACTTGTGTGTGGAATTTATTTAAGACAAAAAAAGGCCATACTGGTCTCTTGTGTATATTTTTTTTTTCGTTGTATAAGAACTTACACAATTATTTGCAGATTTCATCTTCTTATATAAAAATTATATGTTAGATGAGATATACTTTAATTATTGGATTGGTGATTGGGTTGTATCAAAGCCTACAGAGTAAAGTGTCACTAAAGTCACTAACTGCAACTATAATGGGTCCCAAATTTTTCTCGTCTCCACATGTTGTCGCTAAATAAAACAGAACTCTGCATTTTGATTAGATGAGAAGCATAGTAGATTAATAATCGAAAACTTCGGATTCTGATTTTGATTTCGAAACGGAAAGTGGACCAGCGATGAAGTTTCCGTGGTTGGGATTATATAATGGTAATCCAATCCAAGGGCCTCATAGTGAATCACTTGTGAATTGTGATAACAAACGTTTCTTGGTGCACAACTAACACAATATTGGAATTATCCATATGGTCTAAAAAATCAGCAACGTCAAACAATTTAGATTAGACGATTTAATATCTCAAATAGGTGTATGGTAACTCTACATTCACGTAATTCAGTAAAATCAGTGTTTGAAGGCTAATAAAATTAATATGGGTTATAGATTTTGTAATCTGTTTAATTGAGCGGAAGTGGAGCCAACCTAGTGACGAAATAAACAATTAAGCCAGATATTTGTGTGTCATAAATGAAATTACAATTCGTTACACCAAAAAAAAAGAAAGTAATTTACAATTAATATTGGCTTATTCTTGTAGTTTATTATTATACTGTTTTTAAGATCCCAGAGTTTTGTATCTGGAAGCCGAGTGGGCCTTCACAGTCACACGCCTTTAGCCCAAGTACTCGAACAGGTAAACCCAATTAGTAAAACCGGAAAAATCGGAATAAAAGCCCCATTTCACACCCATAAACTTCATTCAAGCCAGTTACCCATAAACCTAATTTCCGATGATGTCGCTGAGAAATGTTGGGGGGATTAATATTTATAAGAAAATAGGCCAAATATGTAATAATAGGCCAAATCTAAGCGGGATGGTGGCAAAAGAAAATGCACAATTAAGCGAATTTCAAAAAGAGCTTGTAGTAATGGATGAGGGATTAAAACGAGACTACAAAAACGATGAATTAAACCACTAACTATGCATAGAAACTGGTGTTGCAGATGCTTCCAAACACGTTACAAATGCATTTGAAAAGTTTCTAGAAGAGTCTAGAAAGGCAAGAGAAAGAGGATGTGATGATGATGATGATCATGTGATACCAACAGAATCACATTCAGAAGCATCAAATGCTGCTCCTGAACCGAAAAGGCAAACGTCTTTTTTCAATAATTTTTTTTTTTTGCTTTGTTCGCAAGAATATAAAATTTAGTGAGAATTTAGTCAAGATTAGATTACAATTCGTTTATTTATTGTGGACAAAATAAACCCAAAACAAATTGGGCTAAAGCCCAATATGATAGGCGAATAAAAAGACCATAAACTCTAGCTAGGGCCCATTCGTAATATAATATTTTACTTTACCCCTTTTCGAAGAAATCCGAGAGACCTGTCGAAAACCTAATTCCCGATCATGCCGGTGAATCTTGGATCCATCGTTTCGCAGTATCGCCGCCTTGTCGGTGGTAGATCAATCGGGTATCGTCAAGCTAGAGGATTATGTTCATCGATTGGTAGAAACGGTAACGTTCTCTGATTACGCATCTGAATATTTTCGCAAGCTTTCTATTACCGGATCGTCGTGACGTGTTTAGTATACGGAGCAGGAGAGGCTGTCGGCGTGCAGGGGCTCATATTGCGAGGTATAGCTCTGGCTACGGGATATAGCTTAGGTATGGAGAAAGAGAGAATGATTTTGTTTCCTCGACGAGCCGAATTATTTATTTTGTTGTTTTTATTGTTATTGTTGTTGTTGTTGTTGTTGTTGTATTAAGGTATTATTTTACCGGGCCGTGGCGATAGTGCACAGGTATTTGAGGAGAAGCTGATGAAGGTAAAAACGGAATCAAAAAGCACTTTGAATGACATTATTGAGTATCATTATATCCTCATCACCGTCTTTGTGTTTTTAGGATGTGAGGGCGACTGAGGAACTCTTTGATCAAATTGATTCACGAGCTGGTTCGGTGTCTGACCGAAAATTCTAATTGTTTTGAAGCTTTGTATTCGGTCATTGTGGAATAAGGCAGACATAAATTAAGGAATTGCTTTTGTTCAAAATGCATGTAAACTATATGTGTATGGAAAGTCTTTTGTTTCAAATGCTAACATTAATAAGTAGACTGACGCATAATTTTCTGATTGTAATCAATAAGGAGCTTGTCTTATGGGTAACAACACTTCCTCTATGATGATTTCACTTCTTTATATAAATATTTATTCATAATAAGTTACAAATTACAATAGTCTCCCAAAGAGGAGAACTTTATGCTATGATGATTTCACTTCCTTATACATTGATAACAAGTTTTAGTAGTCTCCCAAAGAGTTGAACCTTATGCTTGCTGCATATAGAATTAGTTTTACTTCTTGTAAGGAGAGAGAAGAAATAGAAATGTGGACAAGTAAATGTTTCAGGACTAATCATTGATCGAGAGGAAAATAATCCCTTGGCAACTCTTCATTTTGTTCAAATGATTTCTTAACCTCACAATTTTAATTGGGAGATAGAACAAAAACTAGTAGTGGAATCAGTCGTCATATCTTTTGCCTTAGTTTCACCAACAAATTTTTATGAGAACATGTCCAGGATCCTGCCAAGAAAAAAGCACCTTAAAACTTGTTTTTATCCAAATCATCTTCTTTGCTTCGAACACGCAAAATGATACTTATGTTGATTTGTGTTTCGTGGGTTAGTATATCCTAGTACCAAGAATATTAATATCTCATACTGTATTGCTTTTGAGCTCATCGGTTTTTTCTTGGTTTTGATCTCCTTGCTGCGCCGCTATCTTTGCTTTCTTTTTCTTCTTAGATAATCCCAATCTTTCTGCTACTAGTGTTTGCATATACCTTCCTGCTTTGAATTTCATCTCCATTCCAAATAATACATGTCATTGTTACCAGCATCATTGAACTCCCAATAACTTACCTTAATCAAGTTGATTTGTATCCAAATGTAGGAGCTCATTTTATGAGTATGTATTATAGTCGTGCTTCTGACAATAACCACATAACTTGTCTAATATGCAAAGGAGGACTTTGGCATTCCTTTTCTCTTCTAGCCAACCAACCTTACATCCACCCAAAGTTGTCAAGTATAGAACTTGGTTGTTCTGTTGATTTATTTCCTCTTTCAAATATTTGAATTTGAATTTCCAAACTCTTTATTGTCTGCTCTTTTGCTGAAACTTTTGCCTTCTCATAGTCATTCTGTCGAACACCTGGTGGTCAGAAAGATCGCTTGTACCAGGAGAGTAAACATGCTCCGTTGCTGCAACATTTTCGAGGATTAACAGACTTGAATCCGTAACCACGTTATGTTCTTGCACATCAATGCAGATTCCACTTCCTCAATCAAAGATCAATGTGGTTAGATATAGCTATATCTGATATCTTTGGCTCCTTGCCTTTCGTCTACTCTACTTATAAACTCTCATCTGTTGTAGATAATTTTGTTTTGTGAAGATTACTACTGGTTGATTTTCTCTTAATTTGGTTAATCAGATGGAAAAAAGCAAAGACAATGTTAACAATGAAGCTAAATGAAGATGAGTGGTTAGAATACGAGAATGTGATGCAAGATGTTGTGAAAACAAGTGGGCTTAATAAGAGCATATTTTATGATCTTAGAGGTAATCATGACATTTTTGGTGTTCCGGCTGTTGGTTCATCTGTTGATTTCTTCCCAAAGTATAGCATCAATGGACAGATGGAAAGGAAAGGAAATGTTAACACCATAACTGTTGAGGTCGGTTACGCTCTCCCAACTTGGTCTATAGTTGATTCATTTGGTTGAGATCATTGATTGTTTTAAGTTAGGTTGGTGAATGAGTGATTTGCATTTGACTCAAGCCCTGGATTGACAATCTGGTCATGGAAGCTCCAATAAGAAAACATGGAGGTGATTCTTCTTCTTCCGGGGCAACACTCTTTTCACTTCCATGGAATTATAGGGCCTTTGAAGACCCCTTACCTGATAGATTTTAGCTGCAAATAGAAGTCACTGACATTAAAGGCAGATTAACTTTATCAGAAATGTGACCGTATTCCATCAATGGTCTAAGCTCTAAAGTTTCATGGACGTGGAATGAGTTCCTTGTCATGGGCCGCCAATAGGCGACATTATATATTACCCGATTCTTTGGCTTCCTCTATATAGTTTTTTTCTCGTTTTTCTTATCCCCAAATGCATCATCACCGTTTTCAAGAAGCAGTACACTCTCAAGAAGTTCATTGCCAAGAAAAGACCAATCACACTTGTACTGTGGATTCTCCAATACCTCTGCAGAATGCCTGTGGTTTGGTTCGGTTACATGGCATACTTGTTCTATCTCATATTCTTTCCTTGGTTCTCGGGTGAAGTGTATACTGATTCCGGAAACAGAACATACATGACTATTATTGGCTGGGTGGTGACAAGCTCAGGCGCAGATAGGCAACATGAATACTGTACATTGGACAACCTGATGTAATGGTTCTGCTGATCCCACACATGGTATTTGTTGTCATCCCCAGTGTCTTGGTTGTATGTTGTCTGGTTGCTGAGAGAGAGATCTACAAAGAGAGATGTCTCTGGTATGAATGAGGATGACCATGACCGGGGAAGGAAGAAGAGATCACAACGCCGCTCGCTGTTATTCTCTAACATAAGACTGTTTCGGAAATAGCTCTTGCTCGCTTCATTGGCTCTATATTGGAAGCCTTTCAAGGTACCGCTTCTATATTAACTCATGATTCATTTATTTCCATCTTGCATTGGCAAAAACCTGCAATCATGTTCATCTGTTCTCTGTTTTTGTTTTTTCTGCATTAGCTTCTGAAGTATTTTTTGTTTCTCTTGACAGAATTGCTGGGCTATATAGCTAGAGCTTATGAGAGGAATGTGGTTCATTTTCCGGGTTACAGTCTTGTAGTTCCATTGTTGCTACTCTATGTTATCTGCAAAACCCATCCATAAAGTTCCATGAGATTTGAAAAGAATGACCTGTGGAAGTTTTGGTGTTTTATGATTGATAGATTATTAGGAAACACATTTAGGGGTTTTCGTATGAGTTGTTTGATAGAGTTGAACAATGGGAAGACTGAAGTCGAATTTGAGAGAGATTATTATATAAGTGGGTCTACCATTGGACAAAGATGTCTTCAGCAAGTATAATGAGTTTTTCTAAATGTGTACAATAAATAAAATTAAATCAACTAATTTTTTTTTTATAAATAATGTAATTTGGCATAGTGAATCACTTGTGAAGAAAACAAAGGTTTCTTGGTGGAAAAGTAAACACGCGATTGGAATTATATATGATCTAGGAAATCATGCAATTTAGATGAGAAGATTGAATTTATTAAAGAAGTGTGTATGAGGTAATTGAGTAAAAAATTGGTGTTTGACGATTTTACATAAAATATTGAAGGCTAATAAAATTAATATGGGTATATAATATAGATTTTGTAATAATCTGTTTAATTGAGCAGTAAGTGGAGCCAACCTATTGACGAAAGAAACAATTAAACTCTGAACAAATTGGGCTAAAGCCCAATATCATAGGCGGATAGAAAGTTTAGGTAGGGCCCATTCGAGTGTATAAAAGAAGTGTTTTCATTTGTGAAGAAATCAGAGAGACCGTAACCGGATCAATCAATTTCTCCCTTTTTTCTTTGCGAAGTAAAAACCGGATCAATCAATTTGGAAACCTAATCTCCTAATTCCGATGATGCCGCCGAGAAATGTGGGATCTCTCGTCGTTGCGCAGGTAATGTAATGTGATAACGAATCTTCCTTATTTAGTTTCCTTTTTCGTTTTCCCATTATATTTTGTAAAATCGATTTGACCTAAAACTGAGTTTTACAGTATCACCGTCGTCGCTGTGGATCTCGATACTTTTCCGGTAAGCCTCCTCACAAACCAATAAAGGATATGAAGGAAGAGTTTCAAGGTGTGGTCGATAGTAGGTCTAGGCAAGCCGTAGACGGCATGGCCAAGAGATTTCCAAAGCTATTTGAAATAAGTTCACGAGCTCTCACATTCATCTACGGAGGCAGAGGTAAAATTGTTAACACGTCCGCCGGTCAACCAATTGTTGCTGAGAAGAAGGTATTCAGTGAAGAGCAAACACGTGAAGAAGTGGCTCGCGGACTCTCTATCTGTGTGGGTGTTGCTTCCGCTCAAATAGCGAAAATGTCCTTCCAATTTCTGACTAACGAGAACAATGAGGAAACAAATTCTGTGGTCCAAGACGTAAATGTTAGTGGTAATTGAGTTTGGTCACATATTTAACATATATTAATATATGTATGAATGTGTATTAACGGGTGTGTGTTAATGAGTTGTGTTATTAAGTTGTCGGTTTCCACAAGTTACGAACGGTTACGACCGTACGACATGTATATAAGTGAATGAGTGTTGTTGTAATAAAACAACAAGTTTCAGTTTAATAAAAAGTTTTCTATTTCGTTCTTGTCTTCTTCAAAAGAGAAGAGATATTATCTCTTACTCTGTTCTTCAATCTCCCTCAATTATCCAACAGTAAAGGGCATGAAAGGTGATATCATATCTCTCAAAACAGAACTTACGGTGAACAAAGAAAACAACCATATAGAGGTTGAGAAGCTCAAAAGAGAGGTTACGGTGAACAAAGAAAACAACCAAAGAGAGGTTGAGAAGCTTACAACAGAGGTTAGACTGAACAAGGAAGACAAAGAAAGAGAGGTTGAAAAGATCAACCTTCAGCTTCACAGTTTCCGTCAGTTTCTTTCCAACCACGTCCTTATCCCGATTCATCAGGTACAGTTATTGAATTTTCAAGCATAACCCCATATATAAAAGACTTTTGATCTATTTTTAACTCTCTGTTTCAGCGCAACCCTGTCACGGCTAAGGTTGAGGAGAACCTGCAGTTGTCACGCCTCCAAGATTACATGGCTCGACTCCGAAGGTAAACACGCTAGCTGGTTTGAGAGAATTTTCTTTTGCGTACAATATCAGGGATGGTTTTTGCAATGTTGGGCCTCCCTTAAAACAATATTAGATATGTTTGTGTTGTTTTGTTTTTGAATGTGAGACCATCTTTTCAGATTTCGCTTGCACCTTAAAACTATATAGATGTTTGTGTTGTTTCGTTTTTGGACGTGAGACCATTCTCAAACTTGGCTTGCACCATCATGATACTCATTCCCAAAATCATGAACACAAAC